ATCTCGTTCTTGCGCGGACTGGACGCCGCCGAGCGGGCGGACGTGGCCAAGGAGACGGGGATGAAGCCCGGGCACGCGGGCAGGTTTGTCAAGTTCGGCTTCGAGCCGCCCTGAGCGAGCCCGCCGCTAGGGGCTCAGGGATCAGAGTCGGGTCCCGACAGGCTCTGTCCCAGTACATTTCGAAGCCATGGCCTCAGGGAGCGCGGGCGAGGGCCTTGGGAGCAACACGGACAAAAAACATATTAAAATTCATCATGTTCACACCACCCGTACGGCTCTATTTGCAACTAGTCACATACGTACGCCTATCAATCACCCCATGTGAGATGGGTTCCGTGCAATGCTCGTAGCTCGAGTACTTGCTACGGCGCTCTACCGCCGTACCGCCCGGTCTAACTCCCGGCGCGTCACCTCAGTGTGGCCGAGTGCTCGCCTAGCTGGGCCGTCTCCTCCTTGGACGGCACGCACCGTAGCCAGCAACGCCGCCGATCCTCGCCGCCGCCCTTGCCGTCCGCCTCGATGTCTCGGGCGCCGGCAGCGCGCAAGCGAAGCACAACGTCGTTGTGTCCCGCCATTGCAGCCAGAGCGAGGGCCGTTCGCCCGCGAGCGTTCTTTAGGTCCGGGTCCGCGCGGCGCGTGAGGAGCAAGTCGACGGCCCCGAGGTTGCCCGTCAGAGCTGCGAAATGCAGTGGCGCCGCGCCCGGCATGTTGTCAAAGAGCTCGAAGAATGGGGGGGCCATCCTCGAAAGCCAGTCGGAGACCAAGCAGACAGCGCGGCTGATGAACATTAGAAGGGGGGTTGCTGCCGTCGAAGAGCTGGAACAGAGCGCCCGCGGCGTGCGCCGGTTGACGTCGCAGCCCTGGCTGATGCAAAAGTCGAGCGTCTCGACGTCGCCGACGCCGAGGGAGAGGTTCACCGTGAGAAGGCAAGCGCCGAAGCCGTCAACTGACTGCAGGCTGGCGAAGACGGCCTCCCGCTGCTCGGGCGCGGCGTCGCGCAAATAGCACTGGATGCCGTCCTTGCGGCCAAACAAGGCGGCGATGCCCACCGGCAAATCGCCGAAAGCGGTGACGGAGCGCAGCATGGCGCCGCCGCAGCGCTCCATCAGGACACGGATGTTGCCGGCGTGGCCGCCAGCGAGGGCGGTGTGGAGCGGGGTCGCACCAACTTCCTTATCGTGCCGCGTCGGGTCCGCGCCAGCGTCGAGGAGCATACTGACCAGCTCGGGCGCATCGCGAAAGCGGCACAGCCGGTACAGAATGGTCTCGCCTCGGATAAAGTCGAACGAGGGGTGCCCGTCCGCGAGTGGCGCTTCGACGTCTGCGCCCGCCGCAATCAGCTCGCTGGCGAGGTCGCCGCGGCGTGCCAGGACTGCGAAGCGAAGCGGCGTCAGTCCGGAACGGCGCCCGTCGGTGGGCGAGGAAAACTGCATGCGGTGCAGCCAGGCGTCGAGTGGCTCACTCTGCTGAGGGAGGTCCACCTCGCTGCCCGTGCCCGCGAGGATGGCCTCGGCGAGCGCCTGCGCGCCCGAGCAGCTCAGCTTGCACGGAACTGTGAGGCAGCAGATACAATGCGCATAGCAGCTACGTTTGCACGGATTTGTGGGTTGGCCGACGCGTTGCTACGCCGGTGGCTCGACACCGACTTTGAAAGGGTTGATGCTGCGCCGAACTGCGCTAGGCCTCGTACCGTGAGCACGCGGTACCAGAGAAGCTCGCCGGTGGAGAGGGCGTGCGCCGCGCGCGTGTTGAGCAGCTCGAGGATCCGCGGGCCCAGGATCTCCTAAGGTGCGGTGCGGTGCAAACTTCTCCACACACACAGAGTGGTGGGGCAAGGGCCGGGCGTCGCGACTCCACGTCTAGACGACAGGAGCCCCACGGCATCAAATGTGCAAGGCCCGGTGCGCGTGGGTGAGCCGTGTGTGTGTGTGTGTGTGTGTGTGTGTGTGTGTGTGTGTGTGTGTGTGTGTGTCCTCCTTGTCGCTCTCGACGGTGAAATCGCCGTGGCCGACTGGAGTCGCGAGCCAGTTGCTGGCCATCTGCCCGCAGCCGCCGTAGGTGAAGACGGAAGAGGAGGACTGGGCGACGATCTGCCACTTTGGCATCGGCGAGAGAGCATTCGCAAGCTGCTCGAGCCGGCACCACCCTACAAGTTCAAGGGCGTGCGTGCGAACGCCGCAGCTCATACACCCAGCCCGCGGAGGCGGTGGCCTCACCGCGACGACTCCAGGCCCGATAGTCGCGAGGCGCGCCGCCCTCGTGCCGCCACGCGCCCGCGAGTACGACGAAGAGCGAGCACGAGGTGATGTAGGTCCCGATGCTGCTGATGGCGTCGAGGCGCGCCTCGACGTTTTCAGCCGCTTGCGGTATCGAGCAGTAGTCAATCCAAAGGTAGCCGTCGGCAAGGTGCTCGGCGAGGTGCTTGGCCGAGATGTGCATCTCGCCCCACACGAGCCGCTGCAGTGGCCACTCGTGGATGTCCAGCTTCCCGTTGAGCCCGTCCATGAGCAGTCCGCGCAGAAGGCGGAGCTTGCAGCCGTCCGGGTCCGGATGGGAGCTGCCGAGCCATGTGTGGCTCACAAAGAGCACGCACTCATCGTCCTCCGTGATTTCGTGCAGCAGGCCGCGCGCGGCCAGATCCTCGTGCCGTGCCAAATGTTTGTCGGGAAGCGCGATGAGGTCGCGCACGCGCAGCGCCCAGAGCGGGAAGCGGCGAGACATCGAGAAGCGCGCGTACTTACTGTTCTTCTCGGAACCGCGCAGGCTCGGCGGGGCGGCCCGCCATGGCATCGCGCCGTTGCTGCTGCTGCTGATGAAGCTCGAGCGACAGGTAGACAAAGAGCAGAAGACACAGAAAAACAATCATTTCACCAAACCCCTCTGCATTCTTTTTTCTCGTCCACCCCGTTGTGGCGTCGCTCGCGCCGCCTCGCCTCCGCCTCCACCACCGCCCCCTCGCCCGCCACGCCGCCGCCCACCCGCCTCCTCGACCTCCCCACGGACCTCCTCGTGCGCGTCGTCTCTCGCTGCGACCCCGCCGACATCGCTCACGTAGCGGCCGTCTCGCTGCTCTTCCACGCCTCGCTTGCGAGGGAGGGCATCCGCTTGCGGGCGCAAGAGCGCGGCTACGAGCTGCCGGCGCAGCCGGAGGACGAGGGTTGCGCCGTGCGGTGGCTGTGCTATTCGGCGCTGCTGCGCGAGTCCAACCCGCCGGTGAGGGCGGCGGCAGGCGCTTGGCACACCCTCTTCATCGACGGCGAGGGGCGACTCTCGTCGTGCGGCTCCCCGCCGGCCTACATCCCAGCCCCAGGACTGCTCGGCCACGGCGAGGGCGTGACGCGGCTCAACACGCCGACCCGGCTCCCCTCGACGCTGGGCGGCGAGCGCGCCGTGAGTGTGGCAGCGGGAGCCTCCCACAGCCTCGCCCTCACCACTGACGGCGTCTGGAGCTGGGGCGATGGAGGCTTTGGCAGGCTGGGCCACGGCGACCAGCAGGTCCAGTGGCAGCCCAAGAAGGTCGAGGCTTTGGCTGGCCAGCGCGTCGTCGCTGTCTCGGCGAGAGGTCAGCACAACTTCGCCATCACCGCCGATGGCTCTGTCTGGAGCTGGGGCGGTGGAGGCGATGGCCGGTTGGGCCACGGCGACGAGCAGCACGAGCTGCTGCCGAAGAAGATCGAGGCCTTTGCTGCCCAGCGCGTCTTCGCTGTTTCGACGGGAAGCAGCCACAGCCTCGCCCTCACCACCGACGGCAGCGTCTGGAGCTGGGGCTATGGCTACTCCGGCAGGTTGGGCCACGGCGACCAGCAGGATCAGCTGCTGCCCATGAAGGTCGAGGCCTTGCTGGAGCGGCGCGTCATCGCTGTGTCGGCGGGAAGCGACCACAGCCTCGCCCTCACCGCCGACGGCGCCGTCTGGAGCTGGGGCAATGGAGCCTACGGCAAGCTGGGCCACGGCGACACGCAGAACCAACTGCTGCCGAAGAAGGTCGAGGTCTTTGCTGGCCGGCGCGTCGTCGCTGTGTCGGCTGGACTCAGGCACAGCCTGGCCATCACCGCCGACGGCTCTGTCTGGAGCTGGGGCGAGGGAGCCTACGGCCAGCTGGGCCACGGCGACGAGCAGCGCCAGCTGCTGCCCAAGAAGGTCGAGGCCTTTGCCGGCCAGCGCGTGGTCGCTGTGTCCGCTGGAGCGTACCATAGCCTCGCCATCTCCGCCGACGGCGCCTTCTTGACCTGGGGCCAGGGCGAGGACGGCTGCTTGGGCCACGGAGAGGACCTGTCGGACCAGCTGCTGCCCAAGAAGGTCGAGGTGTGGGCGCCGGGGCAGTGATGAGAAGGGGGAAATGGGTGCGAGGCTGTGTGGAGCAGGCGGACATCGCTTCCAGGGAGGCGGTGTTGCCGAAAGGGCGTTGCCGAAGGATGTTGCCGCGTCGCCCATGTGCCTCTTCGCCACCTGCGAACGTAGCCGAGAGTGGAGAGAGGCGAATCCGGGACGGAAGAGCATTGTATGATATCGGGTATCCTGGCAGTCCGGCACCTATAAGCTCCTATATTCCTGTCTCTCAAATGCCTGGGGCTGTCTCTCTTCCTGGTCGCCGAGTAGTGCTGTGTGCGAGGGCATGTCCATGAGCGTGTGTGTCGTCGCCGAAACTCTCTTCTGACTCCGCGTTTTCGTTCTCGCTCGAGATCGGAGATGTCGCTCGTGAAGCCTGAACGGGATGGATTGAAATACATTCGAACAAAGAAGAGGCGACGGGAGGAACCGGCGGAGGATGCAGTGACGTGAGGCACACACACACACACACACACACACACACACACACACACACACACACACACACACACACACACACACACACACACACACACACACACACACACACACACACACACACACACACACACACACACACACACACACACACACACCGCTCACCCACGCGCACACTGGGCCTTGCACTTTGAATGTGTCGTGGGGGGCTCCTCTGTCGTCAGACGTGGAGACGCGAGGGTTGCCCCCCTTGCCCCACCACTCTGTGTGTGTGGAGAAGTTTACCTTACCTTACCTTACCTGTCGCCCCGCGCCGCCACTCCTCCTTCGACCTTCTCCTTCGACCTTCATCGTCCACCACACGCAGCAGATCTCCATGGCGGCGGTGGCGGGCGACGCCGAAAACATCAACAAGCAGGCGCGCAAGATGCGCACCAACTGGGTCACGAACAAGCAAACGGCGGACGGCTTCTTGCGCTACAGTGGAGGGCACCCGTACCGCCTAGCTCCGCGGACGGGCCCCTCCACCCTTTACGTGCGGATCATGTAGTCCCCACAATCGCTGTCGTGGGATCGCTTTTCACGTGAGAGAGTGCGTTGTGTTCTTGTTGTTTATCCGCTTTCTTTTTCTGCCAGTTCGCACCTGTGTCGAGCCTGTCTGCTGTGAGAGAGAGTTATTTTGTTTAAACTCTTTCTGCTGTGAGAGAGAGTTGTTTTGTTTAAATTCTGCTTTGTTGAATTCTTTCTTCACAGCCACGGTGCCGGCCTTGCCATACGGTCTGCTTGCGAGCGTGTTCTGCACGTTCCTGGCAGTCGCCGTCGCAGCGCCGATAGGCACCGCTCGCCAACAGGTTAGCCATACGAACCGAGGCGGGTCCGTACGTGAACGCCGCAGGGTCTCAACCCCTGGGCCAGTTGTTGGAACCACCTCAAGGCCGGCGCGCGTGCGCGGGCGATGGACTACGCCAGCAGCTCAAGGGCTTGCTCCCTCCTCACGACCGCGCGCGCGCTGCTGCAGGAGCGCCGCGTGACGCACCGCGGCATGCCGCACTGCGACATGCCGCAGCTGCACCGTTTCCCTCCGGACACCATCGTGAACTCGGTGGCCTGCGAGGACGCGGTCAGCACCGCGCCGGATCTCTCCTGAGAGCCGGCGCGGATCGCAGATGCAGCTTTAAGGCTCTGCCGGCGGATCTGTGGCCTGGCGTATGCCAGGCTGCGGGTCCAAAGTGTCCCGGCGCGGCGCGCGCCACCGCCCCTGGCGCGGGGCGGGATGTCAGTACGTGAGTACGGTGTCCCTGTCCCTGTGCTCAACCTTGGCTTGAGTCAGGCTTCGGGCCTGGCCTAATCGCTCGCGCGCGGGTGTGCCCACAGCAGAAAAAGAATTCAAGAAGCGACGACCACGGCCTGAGCGCCCAGCGACGCGTGCCGGATGGAGTCCGGCCGCGGGTGACTAGGGAAGTTCGCTCAGGATGTGTGGCAGCCGCCCTGTTGGCTGAGTGTCTTGTCTTGTGGTTCTGTGTGTCGCTCCTGTGTGACCGTCATCGCCCGTCTAGCGTCCACCCATACCGCGTTGGTGTCCCAGTCGTTCGGGTCGGACTGTGTTTCGCCTTCCCATCAATCAATCAACGCACTGCGGCCGCCAGTGCTGTACAAGACTCCAAAATTCCGACCCAACGCCAGAGGATACCCACCTCGAGAACCTCGTACCTCGAGAACGTGTGCGTTGTGAATAGTTAGTGAATACTGTGTATGTGTTAATGTGCGAATGTGCCCCCAAGCACACATGGCGTTCTCTGGGCACAAAACTTGCACCATATTACATTTTCTGGTTCCATGGACCATGCAGATTTTAATGGTATATGGCGGCCGATCTCCGATCATATCGGATCAGAGCAGGCACCGCCAGGGCACCGCCTACTGCTCGGTCGCTCATCTATGGCTCTTGGTTTGCCCATCGATCCGATTCCACATCGACGGTCGAGTGCAGGCACCGACAAAGGTCCGCACTAGAGGTCCTCAGGCCGAGCGAGGCAGAGGTCCTCACGGGAGGTCCTCTCAGCACGAGAGAGACTCTCACCTCTCTCTTGAAGTGGCAAGAGGAGCAGTTATTTGTCGGCTCGCTGAGGCCGCTGGTACATTTTCACAGCGAGAGTGGTGGGCTGTATGGGTCCTCTGACTCCGATCGTGTGCACCAGGCACCGAAAGGTCCACATTGACAAGAGGTCCTCAGCTGAGGGAGGGTGTAGAGGATGTAGAGTGTAGAGCGCTGTAGAGCTGTAGAGATGTAGAGCGCTCTGGAGCGCTGTAGAGCTGTAGAGCTCTACATCGGCTGCGTGACGAACTGCGTGCGTTGTAGAGCGATGTAGAGCGCGATTTTGCTGAGAGGGAAAAGCCTAGACAGAGGCGGAGGCGGCAGCCGAGAGCCGACCACCACTCCGCGCCGCCGACGAGGCGGAGAAGAAAGAACTGGTGCAGCCGAAGGGCTGGCGCAGTAGGAAGGAGAGCCTGGCGCGGCCAAGGACGAGGAGCGGCGTCATGGCCAGGTGAGCAGGAGAGAGCAGCGGAAGCCGCGCTCATCAGAGCAGCGAGCGGGCGGGAGCGCCCGACACACACGGAAGTTCAAACTTCCGTAAAAGATGAAGTAAAAGATGTCCATGGAGAGTCCGTGAAGGACGCAGAGGCAGAAGAAGAGGTAGGAGAGGAGAGGATCTCCGTGAGTCTCCTGCGGGAAACTAGTGGCCTATCACGAGTTAGGGCCCCTACCCCAATCTTTATGCGCGAATTCTTTTCTTCGCTAGGCAGCATGCGCGCCGCGACGACCCGATGCCATCGGAGCCTGCTGTGCCGGCCGCTGTGGCAGTCGCTGGATGGCCGCCTCGCCAGCGCCTCGCCCAGGCGGCACTTGGCCAGCGGTGCGCCAAAGGCTGCGCGCCGCCGCGGCCCGGGCGATCCTGTGCTGGTGCCGGAGCTGTGCAGCGCTGGCAGGCTCGCCGGCTTGCTCGGCATGTCTCCGGAAGGTC